TTTATACATTATTATAATTTATTTATTACAGATTAGATTAAATATACATTTACAACTTAATAGTCTTTGGCTTTTTATATACATATAGTTTATATATATTTATATTTGATATATACTTATATATTTTCGAGTATTGCAATGGATGGTTTCTCTCTTTTTAAAAAAATGAATGCAATTATGACAATCAGCAGTGATCGACCAAGCATCATTATTAAATTTGACTTTATCAACGGCCATTACACACACACACACACACACACACACACACACAGTTAAACAAGGGCCACATTGTGATGAAGTTGGCCAAGTTTTAATACCCGTTGCTGGCCATGTTGCGCATATGTAATCCCATTAAAATCCAATAAGTTAAATTATTTCCATTATTATTATGTGAGCGCACTTTGTCGCCTGTCGGCTGTCCAAGCTCAACTTTGTGCGTCCAGCGTGTCCTGATGACTGCTCGAATGGGCGTTTATCTCGCATTGCTGGTCGGTCAGCTGCTCTGCTGCTCTGCTGCTCGGCAGCTCAGTCCGTGTGGCTTTTGTTGACCAGTCGGCGGCACTTTTGACCAATATCTGCAGCACTTCAAACTCATCCCGGCCATTCTGTGGTTACGGCCATTGGCTTCTGCTGGCCATTAAATTGCATTACGGCCGACAATCATTGTCATTGTTGTTGCTGTTGCTCATGCTGCTGCTGTTGCTTGTTGTTGTTGTTATTGCTCTTGCGCCATGTAATTTCTGTAATTTCGCTGTCTGTCTTTGTCGTTGGCGTTTTTAATTACTTTGCATTTTGATGCGTGCTAATGTTTAAGCCAGACCAGCCGTAATGCCACTTAAGAAGCGTATTCTCATTATTATTATTATGTTTTGTGTAGACTTACGACATATTGCTTAATGGATTTTTATGGAGTAGGACAAGGTGGAGTCGTTTATTAGAGTTATATACATAGTTGATAATGATTATAAAATTAAATTTAAAATAGAAATTAAAATATATTTAATTTTACTTCATTTACAGCCTAGAAAGCAAAACCAAAATTCCATTATGCTCTTTTCATTTGTCTGGCTAAATAAATCCACAGAAAAGTGTCGAGTTGGCCAAAAATCGAAACGGAAAAAACACGCGCATAAGCAACCAAATAACAGTAAAACTATAGTAAATTTGCTGTACGACCAATTTAGAGTTTTGGTCGCCATTTATCGTTGATATTTTTTCGCTGCCAAATGGCAGAAGAATTGTAGCAACAACTTTTCGATTTTTTGGCACTGTTAAGCGCTTATAACACGCATACGCCGTGTATGCCAAACAGTCAAACAACAAAACCAACAGAAAGTATGTCGACGCTGCCGCGTGGGTGGCCGCTCAACTGGAATGGGCGTGCCTCAATTTGGTCGCTTCATGAACATGCGCCAGAAATTAGAAGCCAAACGATGCGAACCCACAAAACACACGACTGACAACGGAAATTGTGCGAGAGTCCAATAATAAAATTCACACAAATAAAACTCGGCACAAATATCGACAACTAACTGACTGGCGACAATATTGACAATATTTGTATAGTTGGAAGAATCAGCGAATGTTAAAATAATATCAATAGAACTCACGCCGAGTTAGATGTGCTCAAACCTAAAAATTTTAGATGGAAAAATGTTTTGAAATAAAATTTGCAGTTGACCATTTAACGGTAGTTAACTCTCTCAGGCATTCTCTCTCCTATAGAATATGAACATATATAGACTTTCATTTATATTTTCTTCATTTAATCAATTTCCACAAGCCCCCGGAATTTTATTAATTGCATTTTTATTGCCTACAGGGTATAAAATACTTGCCATGCCAACACTTGACTGTACAAAATATAACAAATTGAATATCGTATGTATATATATTGTATATATGCAAACAAGTTCGTCTGTTGTGGCGTGATTGCCAGCAAAACTACCTCAACATGTTTGGAATCTGTGCATCGATTCTATTTCAAAAAGACAAAATAAGTAAAGGAAAATTCATAAATTTGCCTGTGGCTGTGTGCTTTACAAATTTTGAACAGTCCAGAGTGCTCACTATGGGTCAATTAGAAATGTTGTTAACAGATATTCATATATAACAGATATATATACCAAGCAAATATAGAATCATAGAACTTGTCTGATAGATTTAGTAAGTTTATTTAGTTAAATAAATCGTATAAACAGCTTAATAGTTTTTACAGATTTCATTAAAAATTATTTAATTTTAACAAATACAAGGCGGGCTAGAAACGAAAGAGAAATTTAAATCATTAAAAATACGAACTTTTATGAAGGTTTGCCGTGATTTGCTGTAGTTCTTTAATACTTACATACATCTATTTAATGCCTTAATTACATACATTTAGTAACTAAATATATATTATTAAATAACTCTTAATTAGTAAAAGTTTTTACCAAATCATAAATTACAGTTGATTCTGAAAATATTTGCCAATGTTATTTTTACCAAAAAATATTTTTCAATTTTAATTATGATATTGCAAATGCAAAGTGCAAATACTGCGCGTGCATTTGTACATTTGTAGTTTGTTGAAATAAAAAACAACATAAAAGCTGAAAATTAAATGAAAAAATAGATAAATTTTGTAAAAATTGTTAAGCTGCTTGTAAGCCGCAATGCAAATGTGGCTTTAATCAATTAAAAAATGTTGCGCTCTGCCAAAAGTTTGTTTTGCATGTGTGTTAGGGTGTGTGCGTGTGTTTGTGCGGCGGCTGTGAAAACAACAATAAAGCAAACACAAACACAACAACAACAACAACAACGGGAGCAATCACACTGTGAGGAGCTTACACGGGGCGTATGTGCAACTTTTGTGGCCTGCCTGTCATGGCTAGGCGGCTTTTGCCAAAAATGTTTTCGAGCTGCGCTTGTTGTTGTTGTTGTTGCTGCTATTGTTGTTGTTGCTGTTTCTGCGGTCTGTTGGCTCGACTTGACTTTTGGTTTTCGCAGAGCCTTTTCGAAGCTCTCGTGGCTTTGTTTGTCCTTGCCTAATGTTGCTCATCATCTCATTGTTGTTGTTGTTGTTGCTGTTGTTGTTGACTACGCTGAGTCTTATTTATGTGCCGTTATTATTGTTGTTGTTGGTGTTGCTGTTGCCTGCGCCGCTGTATGCAAAGATAATAAGATAAATGTTCTCAAAGGACTGCACGACACTGTGCCCCATCGTTGCTTATGCAAAAGGACATTTGCGCAAATGTTTTGTGATAATAAATATAACTCTCTGTGGCAGCAGATCTCTCTCTCTCTGCTCTCCCCAACCACCCACCACTATTTTGTAGTAGTGCGAAAATATAAAATATAAAAAAAAATAGTTGTCTTTATGTATGTATATAAATATTCATATATATAATCCAAACATCTAGCATTTATTTCAGTTTCGTGTCTGCGGCTTGGAAATAGTTTGCGTTGATTGTAATTTATGTTAATTTTGTTCACATTTTATTTTCCGGCTTTCTAATTGAAAAATATATTTGCCTATCGGAATATGGCTCAGATAATATTATAATGAAATTAATTGCATACCCTGTATAAAAGATAAATATATAACATGCATATATTGGAAGAGGATTGGGCACACAGATCGAACTGATTTTATATTGAAGTCAGACTGCAAAGGAATATTTTATATAAAGGAAAGATTTATTTATTGAACTGGCAATGTTCTTTTAAACATATAAACTCTAACTTTACTTGAAACGCGACATGTCTATACAGCAGAGTCAAGCAACAGGCAG